CATGTCCCTCTAAGCCTTCTCTTTCCCAGGCTAAACAGACCCAACTCTTTCAGCCTTTCCTCGTAAGACTTGGATTCCAACCCTCTCACCATCCTGGTTGCCCTCTTCTGGACACGCTCAAGCTTGTCAACATCCTTCCTAAAATGTGGTGCCCAAAACTGGACACAGGACCCCAGGTGAGGCCTGACCATAGCAGGATAGAGCGGAACGACCACCTCCCGTGATCTGGACACAATGCTTCTGTTCATGCATCCCAAGACTGCATTCATTTTCTTCGCAGTCACATTGCACTGCAGGCTCATGTTTAGCTTGTGATCAACCAGAACACCCAGATCCCTTTCACAGGTGCTGCTTGTGGTTTCAAAGGGAGGCCTGTGGGGTGGGACGCAGAAAAAGGGAGCCAGCCAGCCTCCTTGGTGTAGTGGTTTGAGCCAGTTTGGTGTTGCGGTTAAGTGCGCGGACTCTAATCTCGGAGAACCGGGTTTGAATTCCCCACTCCTCCACTTGCACCTGGCTGGATGACCTTGGGGAAGCCGTAGTTCTGACAAGAGCTGTCCTTGAAAAGAGCACTTTCTGTCAAGAGCTCTCTCAGCCCCACCGACCCCACAGGGTGTCTGTTGTGGGGAGGGGGAGGGAAAGGAGTTTGTGAGCCGCTCTGAGACTCCTTTGGGTAGTGAAGGGCGGGCTATGAATCCAATCTCTTCTTCTTCTTCTTCCTCATCCATACCTCCTGTGGCTTCCAGGGGTTCATGGACTCTCCGTTCCTGCTTCCCTCCTTGGGGCTCCATGCTGCCTTCCCAAACATTTCCCCTCAAGGGGTGTTGATGATGAAGCATCCCCTTCACAGGTAAGCACACCTGTAGGCGACGCGGAGGCAGAGCAAGCGTGGCCTTTGTCTTCCTAGAACAGGGCTCTTCCGGGGGACATGAGCCACCTCCTGGGTGGGATGGACACTCTTGGCCACTGGCTCTCATGCTCCAGGGTTTGTCTTGGCAGGCGTTCTGGGGCTGGATGCCCCACACAGCTGGCCCACCACCTCCCTTGATAACGGGCATGGCATCCAAGGCTCCCTCTAAGCCGTGGAGTCTTGTGAGCAAAAATTCTTCTTTGTGAGCAACTCACATTAAAGTTATGAGCAAGCAATTTGGCTACTGCATAAAACAATTTACCCTGGAGCCCCATCCCTTCCTGAGCTAAGACAAAAAGGTGTGAGCTGGAGGCTAAAAAACGGTGCGCTAGCTCACACTAACTCAGCTTAGAGGGAACACTGAATTCGCATCCCTCTCTGGGGGAGCTGCAGCAGCACGGGGGAAGCGGAAGCCGGCCACTGCCAGCCTGCCTTCTCCGCGGCCGGGGAGGGGGCCTCTCCACCTCCGCCCCCCCTGGCTGGGTGGGGGCCTGGATGGCCTGCGTGCTGCCGGACCCGCTCTCCCCGGCACCACTGTGATTCTGAGCTGCAGTGTTGTGATCTGAGACTGAGAGGGGGAAGGATTTCGGGGTCGAAGTGGGGAGCTCAAATGAAAGCGTCAGCTCACCCGTGGGCTGCAGTGGTGGAACGGGCAAACTCTCTGATGGGGATGAACAGGAAAGGGGTCGAGAACAGAACGGCCGACACGGTGATACCCGGGGATAGATCTATGGGGCGGCCTCATTTGGAATCCTGTGTGCAGTTCTGGCCACCGTATCTGAAGAGGGACACGGCAGAGCTGGGAAAAGTGCAGAGGAGGGAGACCAAGAGGATGAGGGGCTTGGAGACCCTTCCCCAGGAGGAAAGGCTGGAGAGTCTCTGGGGCTTCTCAGTTTAGAAAAGAGATGACTGGGGGGGGGCGACATGAGAGTGGGCTATCAAATCATGCACGGGGCGGAGAGAGGGGACAAGGAGGACTTTTTTCTCCCCCTCCCAAAACACTGGTAATCGAGGGCGTCCAAGGAAGCTGATGGGCAGTAGGTTCAGGACAGGCAAAAGGAAATACTATTTTTAAAAGAGGGTGATTGATTAAAACGTGGAATTCGCTGCTAGAGGATGTAGCAATGGCCACAGAAATAAATAGCTTTGAAAGCGGATTACATAGATCCATGGAGGATAAGTCTATCAATGGCTACGAGCCATGGCGGCTGAGGGGAACCTCCATATTCAGAGGCACTAAACCTCTGAATCCCAGAGCCAGGAGGCAACATCAGGGGAAAGCCTCGGCCTCTCTGCCTTGTTGTTGGCTCTCCAGAGGAACTGGCTGGCCCCTGTGCTCTGTGTGAGACGGGAGGCTGGACTAGAGGGACCCTCCCTGGTCTGACCCAGCAGGGCTCTTCTGACGCTTCTTCTCAGGGGAAGGCCTCGGCCTCTCTGCCCTGTTGTTGGCCCTCCAGAGGAACTGGCTGGCCCCTGTGTGAGGCGGGAGGCTGGACTGGAGGGACCCTCCCTGGTCTGACCCAGCAGGGCTCTTCTGGTGTTCTCCTCAGGGGAAGGCCTTGGCCTCTCTGCCCTGTTGTTGGCCCTCCAGAGGAACTGGCTGCCCCTGTGTGAGACGGGAGGCTGGACTGGGTGGACTGGAGGGCTGTGCTCATGTTCCGGTGTAACTCTGGCTCCAGAAGTCTTCATGCCCTTTCCCCATAAGGCACTTGGGAGCGTGAGCAGTCAATCTGTCGACTGAGTTCCTCCCGGTGCTGGCATGGCTGTTGTTGCCCCTCTTCCTCCGGCCCTTCCTCACAGGTTGTAGCAGAGCTTCGGGGTCTGGAGGAGACCGTGGCCAAAGAAGCTCTCTTTCCAACCAGGCTGCCAGAGCTCTTCCACCTGGTGGGAAGGGCCTCGTAGAAGCCGTGAGGCCACTTCCACCCTCCAGCCCGCCCGTCCGTGAGACTCACCCCAAGGATGCCCAACGCCAGCCAGACCGCTCCTTCCTCCTTCCTGCTGGTCGGGATCCCGGGTCTCGAGGCCTTCCACGGCTGGCTCTCCGTCCCTTTCTGCTGCATGTACCTCATGGCCTTGCTGGGGAACGTCTCCATCCTGCTGATCGTGCAGTCTGACCCCGCCCTCCACCAGCCCATGTTCCTCTTCCTCTGCATCCTGGCCGCCACCGACCTGGGCCTCTCCACTTCCATCGCCCCCAAGATGCTGGCCATCTTCTGGCTGGACGCCCGGGAGATCGGCTTTGAGGCCTGCCTGGCGCAGATGTTCTTCCTGCACGCCTTCACGGCCATGGAGTCCGGGGTGCTGCTGGCCATGGCCTTCGACCGCTTTGTGGCCATCCGTGCCCCGCTGAGGTACGGGGCCATCCTCACCCCCCGCCTCATCGCGAAGGTGGCCCTGGCCCTGGCCGTGCGGGCCGTGGTGATCGTCATCCCCTTCCCGCTGCTGGTGAGGCGCTTCCGCCACTTCCGCTCCAACGTGATTGCCCACTGCTACTGCGAGCACATGGCCCTGGTGAAGCTCGTCCGCGGGGACACCACGGCTAACAACCTCTACGGGCTGATCCTCTCGCTCTCCGTGTCCGGCCTGGACCTCGCGGGCATCTCTTCCTCTTACGCCCTGATCCTCCAGACTGTATGGAGGCTGCCGTCCCGGGAGGCCCAGCGCAAGGCCTTCGGCACGTGCGGCTCCCACATCAGCATCATCCTCGTCTTCTACATCCCAGGGCTCTTCTCTTACTTGACTCACCGCTTCGGCCACCGCGTCCCACAGCCGGTCCACATCATCCTCTCCATCCTCTACCTCCTGGTCCCCCCCATGCTCAACCCACTGGTCTACGGGGCCAAGACCAAGCAGATCCGAACCAGGCTGCTGAAACTCTTCTTCCTTGCAAAGGGGGGGCCCTGAGCCCCGTTGGCCCTCGGGGTGGGGAGCCGTAGCAATGGGGGAACTCACTTCAGGTCAGGTCAGGACCGACTCAGGGGCCCGTTCGGCACTGACCGCTTGCTCCCGAGAATCCGAGGAGTCCAGCCTTAAGGGTCGGCATCACAGCCACACACACTCCCTCTGACTGTTTTCCCCCCCCCGGTTTATTTATTTGTGTATCCTGTATGCATTCTGCATCTACAAGCAAAACCCACATTGTTTACAGAAAGAACCTGTTCAAAACCAAAGGTCGTCTCCTCTGTAATTCCATACATACACGGCGTCCCCTAGACCTCCAAACAGAAAGCGACTGTGGCAGAAAACGCCCACTGTGGAAAGAATAACAGCCATACGTCTCTCCCAGGTATGAACCAAGACATTTCAGTGGTCTTCAACAGCGGCTGGTAAAACAGAACCCGATTTCCAAAATAACGTGGGCACAGCTCATTCTTTTTGTAACATTTTCTAACATGGGCACGATCTTTTTGTAAACAATGCTTAATTGTTAAGATCAGTCGGTTGGATATGTGTTTATACCTTCTTTTGGGTTATGACCACTAACCCATCTTTGTACTTTAACAAATGGAATATACAGTTTTGATCATATAAAGTTGTGAATTCTGAATGGCCTTCCCTTGGTGGGTGTTATTTGAAAACTGTTCAGCAAACTGCAACTGTTCCACAATGAGGGCTGGGTACAGCAATCACACCACACCCCCATTTTGAACACTCTGCCCTCCTTCCTGAATGTCGCTTTGGAATATTTCACTGCAACTATAGAATATAGCACCAAAGCATATGATGTTTTATGAAGTTTCATGAAGTCATATGATCTTCGCTATCATACTCTATGATGAAGAACAGAAGAGATTGGATCTATACCCTGCCCTTCACTACCCGAAGGAGTCTCAGAGCGGCTTACAGACTCCTTTCCCTTCCCCTCCCCACAACAGACAGACACCCTGTGAGGGAGGTGGGGCTGAGAGAGCTCTTGACAGAAACTGCTCTTTTTCAAGGACAGCTCTTGTCAGAACTACGGCTTCCCCAAGGTCATCCAGCCAGGTGCAAGTGGAGGAGAAGTGGGAAATTAAACCCGGTTCTCCCAGATTAGAGTCCACACACTTAACCACGAGGTCCTGTTCAGATGAAGGCAGTCGAAATGAACTTGTATTCCGGAAAACCTATTCAACCTGCACTTTTTTGCACCTCCCTTCCTTCTTCTTTGTATCATTGTCATTTATACATGGTTTGATATCATCACTATAAAGCTTTCTTCCATGCTTTTTGAGCATTGATTTTGTATAGCACTTATATACCGCTTGCTTTTTCTTTTGCATTTGGATCTTTGGAGCTGTGATTCTCTTGCAGCATGCTTTTTCGATGATGGCACTCGTGTCTTTGGAATACCCCACCCCCCAAGGGTCTGCATGCCCGTTCCTCAAGCACCTCCCAACAAGCGCCAGCTGGACCCAGTGGCTTGTTGGGCTGGACGGACAGAACTGTACACCCAGCGCGTTCCAGAAGCAGCCAGGGCCACGCCTTCGATTCATCGCCCTTGCCACTCTCTCTTCTTCAGTCTCTCCCTTATGCCCACTTTGGTGCAGGGAGGGGCTGCGTGCCCCACAGAAGGGGCCCAGTGTCAACAATCGCTCTCCTAGTTTTGCAATCCGGACCTAATTTTGCAATCCGGAGCAAGGGAGAATAGATCCGCTCCATCTTCTACATGACGGCCCTTCAGATACTTGAAGACTGCACTTGTGTCCCCTCTAAGCCTTCTCTTTCCCAGGCTAAACAGACCCAACTCTTTCAGCCTTTCCTCGTAAGACTTGGATTCCAGCCCTCTCACCCTCCTGGCCGCCCTCCTCTGGACACGCTCGAGCTTGGTCTCAAGGGTGCCACTGGGCCAGTGTTCCCTCTCAGCTGAGTTAGTGTGAGCTAGCTCATAGTTTTTTAGCCTCCGGCTCACAGATTTTTGTCTCAGCTCAGGAAGGATGGGGCTCCAGAGCAAAATAATTTACGCAGGAGCCAAATCGCTCGCTCACAACTTGAATGGCGGTCGCTCGCAAAGTAGAATATTTGCTCACAAGACTCCGCAGCTTAGAGGGAGCGTTGCCCTGGACTCAAACTTGGTTCTGCTGCTTCAGACCAACACTGCGACCCACTTGAATGGCTTTAATCCCTTGCGGATTTCTTTGCCGAGGTACAGAAAAGGCACCGTCCACCAGGGGGAGAAGTTGGCATAAAGATGGCTGCTGCCCCCCCCCCCCCAGGCAGCAAGAAGCCAAAGGGAGAGGAGGCTCGTAGCTTTCTAGGTACCACATTTTCATCCCTCCCCCTCAAACTGTGCCCTCTGTTTCTTGACTGCCTGAAACATAGCCCAGTGATGCCATTTGCAGGATCAACTGGCTTAATCCTGCAGGGTGAGCCGAGCAGAGGCCCAAGGGCACCTGAAGAACCAGGTTTATTCCAGCACAAACTTTTGTGAGCCAGAACTCCCCTTCATTCCAGACGCACAAGGTGTCCATCTGTCAAGCAGATGTATTTATACCCAAAACTGCAAACAGGAGGAGGAAGAAAAGAAGACTGGTCCAAAGAGAAATCAATCTACTCAGAATGAAGGAGGACATGATGCCCAATTGTTGGTAGGTAAGCAAACCAGGATTAACATCAAGAACATGCAGATCCAAGGGGGGGAAGGTATACAGGTGAGGCTGAACTTAAAAACAGCCGTCGTGGTGTGGTGGTGAGAGGGTCAGACCAGGATCCGACAGACCCAGGTTCAAATCCCCCCTCTGCCAGGGAAGCCGGCTCAGTGACCGGGCCCAGCCACACCCCACCCAGGGCGGTCGATGCTCCCTCGGAGCTGTGGAGTCTTGTAAAAAGCCTAATTTTTTAGCTCCTGGCATCAAAGTTGTGAGCGAGCGATCGGGCTGCTGCATAAATGAGTGTGCTCTGAAGCCCTCCTTCCTGAGCTAAGACAAAAATGTGTGAGCCGGGGGCTAAAAAGCTGTGAGCTAGCTCACAGCGATTCAGCTTAGAGGGAACACTGCTCCCTCTAAACTGTGGAGTCCTGTGAAGAAGAGGAGACTGGATTTCTACCCCGCCCTTCACTACCCAAGGGAGTCTCAGAGCAGCTTACAAACTCCTTTCCCTTCCCCTCCCCACAAAATTCAGGCACCCTGTGAGGCAGGCGGGGCTGAGAGAGCTCTTGACAGAAATGGCTCTTTTTCAAGAACAGTTCTTATCAGAGCTACGGTTTGCCCAAGGTCATCCAGCCAGGTGCAAGTGGAGGAAGAAGAAGAGATTGGATTCATACCCTGCCCTTCACTCGGAGTCTCAGAGCGCCTTACAAACTCCTTTCCCTTCCCCTCCCCACATCAGTTGGTGGTACGGAAGACCCGCACCCGAGACTCTGGAGAGCCACAACCAATCTGAGCAAATGAGATGGGGCGGGGGGGGGACACACATAACAAAATGAGAGAGAGAAGCCAGTGTTGGATCGGGCCAGTGGCCCATCTAGTCCAACACTCTTCTGTGTCACACAGGGGCCAGAAATACCAGGTGCCACCAGGAGGTCCACCAGTGGAGCCAGGACTCCAGAAACCCTCCCACTGTTGCCCCACCACCACCACAAGCACCAGAACACAGAGCATCCCTTGCCCCAGACTGAGAGTTCCTATAAGAACATAAGAGAAGCCCATGTTGGATCAGGCCAGTGGCCCCTCCAGTCCAACACTCTGTGTCAGGCAGTGGCCAGAAATACCAGGAGCCCTCAGGAGGTCCAGCAGTGGGGCCAGGAGGACACTGGAAGCCCCTCCCACTGTTGACTCCCCCCCCCCAGCACCAAGAAGACAGAGCCTCCCTTGCCCCAGA